TTTGGAAGATGAAGCTCAAGGTATGAATCTGTTATGCTACACTGTCATTCCCTTCAGTGAATATAAGCCACTTCCCATATGAAAGAGGACACTTTTCCATGTCATTCCTGCCTAAACATTTCAAGGAAGTGGAAGGAAACAAGTATTTTCAGGTATAAACCTGTATTTTAAGAACATCCCCAAGTTTAATCCATGATAGTAGTAAAGTGATTTCCATCCCTTAAAGCTATATTGAACCTTTCAACCACAGTCTTGCTAAGTTTGAGCTTGAGCTTAATTACCTTCATTTCCACAACACCTTCAAACATTTCATTTTGGAATGTCCACAAATCCTGGATCAGATGTAAAGCGTAAATACAGTCTGGTATCTCAGAAAGGTTAAGGCCTTTAAGAAACCAAACCGAAATTACATCTTCAAGAATGGCCAGTCATGGCTATGATAGGTGGGCTATTCTGGAAGTGGTATTTTAAAACCTTGACTTTTGCAATGAAGACATTACACTTTCAACTTCACACCACATAGTCAACTCTCTGTGTTCTCTCAATTTTAACACACTGGCAAAAACAGAGTTCCACAGAGACCATCCCACGATGCACGACCACTTCCAGTGGCTGCCAGTGGGAATTTGTGTTGCCAGTGTGTTAAAACAGAGAGAAGACTTATTCAATAAAATGAGTAGGAAGCAGGGAAAGCACAGGAAAGAATGGAAAAGGATGTCAGATGGCTAGTCATCCCAGAAGATGGGGATAAATTGTAGGAATAGAATTAACATGGTTCCCTCTACTTTCCTCCACATTCCAATGGTCAATTTGACAAAGTCCTTAGAGAAAACTATAATCTATGGTAATTTTCCTGGAGATTGGGACAAAATACAAACATAGAGGCAATGCCCTTGGAATAATGGAGCAACCACCTGTTGGCACCAGAACCAGTCACACGCCTTCAAGGGCTGGAAGTATTTCAAAATAGTGATTCAGAAGAAAGCCACATGTTTAGTAGTCTCAATAATTTTCCATAGGAGTCCGGTAGAAGTATCAGGGCCAGACTCTCCTTTGTTGGCTATGTTTCAGCTAATAAAATGTTATATAAAGGACATGATTGAATTTAGGTTTTATCCCCCACCTTTTCCGACCAAGCTAGTGTAATTTACATAATATGCAAATTTAAAGAGCTAATTACACAATTTGGGTGTGCTAAATTAGCTTGCCTGATCTGCATAATTCCCAGCCAGTTTTATCCCTGTTCTTACCACATGCCGAACACAGTGGGGAAGAGAGCAATAGGAGGCCTTAACTATTTCTTAGAGATTCTTGGAAAATGAGGGCTATTTACACCAGGTTCTTTCTAAGGCTATCCAACAGTCCTTCCTGAAGGAGAGGAAAAGCCTGAATTCTCATCTTCCTGCATATTTCTATCATCCTCCCCATCTTGGCATCAAGGTAGCATGGGTGATGATCCAGAATATTCACCTGTATGGATCATGATTGTTATCTCAACAATTTCAAAGAGATGTTTTCCCTTTTGGTTTCCACATTAAACTTCCTCATCTTACAGCTAATGCTTGATGAGGGCCCTTAGATTCTAAAATGAGGTGTCATGTAGGTATGTGTGATCTGATCTGATAAATATGGAGGTAACCAAGATTCTGCACAGACACTGAAGAGAAAATGATTATTATGCTGCTCCTAGTTCCCTTACAAGCTGCAAATGTGGAAGTAAATGTATGACTTAAGGATAAAAATTAAAATAAGTCAGGTGTTGGTCTCCTGATCCACCACATTTCTGCAACAATGATTACCCACCTATAAAACAAGAATATTTACAGTAGGAGGTAAAGAAAAAGGTTCTAATTTCACTTTCTGCCTGACCAGACATTGGATTTTCCGCCCTTTGTGATTACTATTCCCAGTAATTTTTCCCTCAAACACATAAGCATGTTAGTCTGTAATATCAATATGCAAAACACCACAGAGACTAACTGAAAAAATAAAGTCAATAGTACAGTAGAGTCTCACTTATCTAACATAAATGGGCCGGCAGAATGTTGGATAAGCAAAAATGTTGGATAATAAGGAAAAATTAAGGAAAAGCCTATTAATCATCAAATTATGTAAATTTTACAAATTAAGCCCCAAAACATAATGTTTTACAACAAATCGACAGAAAAAGCAGTTCAATACATGGTAACATTATGTAGTAATTATTGTATTTATGAATTTAGCACCAAAACATTGTACTATATTGAAACAGCTGTGGGTCCAGGTAGGAGGCAGACTGTGTTGGATAATACAGAATGTTGGATGAGCGAAGGTTGAATAAGCAAGACTCTACTGTATATACTTCTGTAAAATATGTCTACTTCCTCAAATGCAAGTTGTGTTCCTGATGAAGGATTTTGAATGTTTACACATGAAGAAGCAGAGGATAGCAGGCTGTAGTAGTTCAGTCAAAACGCCTACAAGGAGATCACCATTTTTTGATTATAACCAGGCAACTGTCATCATTATCATCTTTTCATAAAAACTTACAAGATAGCCTTGAAGATGGTGCCCACATTCAAATGTTAATCCAGGATCTGATAGGCAGCTCCTTGTTGCTTTTATGTGTGCTATTATGGCCAACAGCCACTGGTACCTGCCATCTATTATGGATTTGATTGTTTCACATGTCTTTGCATTTCAAGAGATGCATATTCCCTTGATCTGAAATGATTTTCCATGACCAGCCACAGAAAGTATCCTAGGAAAGTTATCCCCCACTTCCCAGTTTCTGAACACTTCAGAAACAGTTGAAAAATGAAGTTAAATGGAACCCATCAAATGATGCAGGGAGACCTTCCTCTTGCGTTGGTCATGCTCCATTAGTGAATTGTTTACAAAGTGGGTTGCTGTGAATTTTCTGGGTTGTATGGCCATGTTCCAGAGGCATCCTCTCCTGATGTTTCACCCATATCTATGACAGGCATCCTCAGAGGTTGTGGGGTATATTGGAAAATAGGCAAGGGAGATTCATATATCTATAGAATGTCCAGAGTGGGAGAAAGAACTCTTGCCTGCTTGAGGCAAGTGTGAATGTTGCCACTGGCCACATTGATTAGCATTTAATAGCTTTGCAGCTTCAAAGCCTGGTGCATTGCTGCCTGGGGTGGATCCTTGTTAGCTGGCCCTGATTGATTCTTGCCCTGAATTCCCCTGTTTTTTGAGTGTTCTGATTTTAGAGGTTTTTTTTAATACTGGTAGCCAAATTTTGTTCATTTGCATGGTTTCCTTCTTTCCATTGAAATTGTCCTCATGCTTGTGGATTTCAATGGCTTCTCTGTGTAGTCTGACATGGTGGTTGTGAGAGTGGTTCAGCATTTCTGTGTTCTCAAATAATATGCTATGTCCAGGTTGGTTCATCAGGTGCTCTGCAGGTGTCTACCATATACCATGTAGCTGTGGACAAGTCTACATAGAGACCACCAAAACACAGCATTCAAACATGAATCAAGGAACATGAAAGGCACTGCAGACTAATTCAATCTGAGAAGTCAACCATAGCAAAGCACCTGATGAACCAACCTGGAAACAGCATATTATTTGAGAACACAGAAATGCTGGACCACTCTCACAACCACCATGTCAGGCTACACAGACAAGAGTTCTTTCTTCCACCCTTGACATTCCACAGTTGTATAAACTTCACTTGCAGAGTTTCCAATAGACTTAATAGCCTTTGAGGATGCCTGTGGGTGAAATGTCAAGAGAGAATGCCTCTGGATCATGGCCATACAGCCTAGAAAACTCACAGCAATCCAGTGATTCTGGCCATGAAAACCTTCAGCAACACATTGTTTACAAAGTGTTAAGAAATGGATGGGAGGGAGAGGAGAGAGGACGGGCATAAATAGTCCCCGGAGCTCAGGAATTGCTACAAAACTGAAGAAAATGGTGAAAAACACATGGGATGGGATGTGCCAGATTCGCCCACATTGATTGGATTTGGTGACGTGGGGGACTGGGTATTCTTATGGGCAGTGTCCTACAAAGCAGTGATACCCCAGCAGTCTCCTAGAATCCAGCCACCTGATCCTTGCCTTGTACAGTTTTTTTTTAAATTCTGTATTCATTAGAAATTTTGCTTGTTTAGGAGGTTCCTACTTTGCTTTTGCATGATTCTGTTCTATTGAATTGCTCTTTTCCTGCCCTTTCTTTCGCAGTTTCTAAGTTCACAATTTTTTTTAATTGAAAAAGGGAGTGAGCAGGAACTACACTCACGCATGTGATGCATCTGAAAATGGATAATTTTAGAACACAGGGCCAGAAACAACAATGTGCAATGATAAATGAGAAACAATACAATTTGCTTTCTAATGCAACAGGACATAATATGATAGTAATGTAATGCTCCCCCCCCCCCACAACCCCCAGCAAATGGGATGAAGTCCTTGGAGGGTATTTGTTGCAGTAAGTTATTCTTTCACAGCAAAACATATTCAGTTGTCTGATGAAAAGTATTTGCAAAATTCCAATGACTTCACTCACTACCGTGTTACTGACCTCATGAGGACATAAAGGGCTCTGTTCATTTGCTAATCCAACCTACTTTAGACCCATTGAATCAAATGCTAAAAATTAAGCCAGCGGTTATGTAACTCACAATGAATCAATGAGCCTATGCTAATTGGGAGTAGTCATTTGATTTATTTATTTAGGCATAAATCCATTGGTTAGTTCCAAGTGGAACAGATCAACTGAATCAATTAGAACTCAGTAAGTTCTATTGATTTAGCCTGGACTAACAATTGGATTTAGGTCTCACTTCTTAGCAAGTGTATATTCTCACTTTCTTCCAATGAGCCAAAGGTAATGCACATTGCTTTCATTCACCTCATTTTGTTTTTGCAAATAAGTCAGGCTGGGAGAGTTACTGGCCTAAATACACCCGAATTTCATGGCTTAATAGGAAGCAAAAAGCAAACAAAACCCATTGAAAAAGTATATAAAACAGACTTTATTACCTTTTCATTGGATCTCCTGATCTATCAATACCACAAAAAGGTAGGATGGTCACATGTCCTATTACAAGCCAGTTTGTGAAGATATTCTTTATATGCAAAGGATGTCCATCTCAGCAACTGTAAGAAAGAAGAGCAAGACCCGTGAAGCAGACTGTCAACATTTAGCAATTGAACAGCAGGGGCGGAAAAGGCACTCCATAATCTCCTTCACAGTATTGGGTTACATCATTGTATTTCGATTTAAAGTACAGGCAGTCCCCAAGTTACAAATAAAAAACAAGGGTTGTTGACAAAGTATCAATGGAGACATATTTTCCCCATAATAACTCTTTCAGGAGTGAATTTTCCTGCCTAGAGGTAGATTTCTCTCACTTCCTGCTGTCTCACACCCTTTCTTAACTATGAGTTATTTGTAAGTCAGATGTTTGCAATTTGGAGACTGCCTGTCTAGCAAAGGGAAGCAACTATTTCTAAATTTTCATCCTTAAATTTCAATTAACATATGTACAATTTATATAAATGTTGTTAGTGTGTGCCTTCAAATTGTGACTTTAAGGTGAACTGAATCACTGGATTTTCTTGGAAAGATTTATTTGCTCCAAGCCACTGGTGAGTCTTCCTGGCCAAGCAGGGATTCAAATCAGGGTCTCCAAAGTCATCGTCCATGCTCAAAGCACCGCATCATGATTAGGCAAATATACATATTTTATTATCATTTTCTGTAGCAATGGACAAATGGCTACTCTATGCCTGCTACCACAGAAGCTAAGTGTCTTTGCAATTCCCAGTAAAGAGAGTTTGGTTTCAAACTGATCTACATTAATACAGCAGTGGTACCTTCCACATTGGAAGGTAATGCCTGTCAATTAATAGTAGTAAGAAAGTAAACTTTATTACGGTCGATGACCAGATCATGACCAGTCCTGCACATCCATGTCAAACCCAAGGGGTTATATGCTTCAAACTTCAACAAATTTTAAAATTGAGGCTAAAAACAACATGCAAGTACCTCTGAGGATGCTTGCCATAGATGCAGGTGAAACGTCAGGAGAGAATGCCTCTAGAACATGGCCATATAGCCCGAAAAAACCTACAACAACCCAGTTATTCCGGCCATGAAAGCCTTCGACAAAACATGCAAGTAGTTATTAAAACCCAACTCAACCCACAAGATCACCTGAAAGCAGTCTAAAGGGAGGTGATGGGGATGGCACCGGGGGGGGGGGGGGGGGGGGGGGGGGGGGGGGGGGGGGGGATCCAACACTATGAATATCAGTTTATATCTGATTTCCCATCTATATTCCAGAAGTGAAGCTTAGGTCTTTTGACTCTCAATTGGCCGAGTTTTTAGACTTCATCACAAGGAGCTGGAGAAAACAAGGGAAAGTGGAGGAAAGGATGGAGTTGCATGGGGTTCTGTCTTTAAAGAAGACAAAGAATTTACTCACTCTCATCACACAACCTTAACTCAACCATCAGCTTAATTCACATTACAAGGACAGATGATGACTCCTTCCATTTCAAGAACACTAGCACACTTTTTAAAACAGGCATCCTTTAAGGCAGCACTGCCTTCAAACCCCTTAGACTAAAGCAGATTTAAGGCATCTTTCTTAAGGTGGCACTTTCCATGGGATTGTTTGCACTCAAGACCCTTCCACTGAAAGAGAGTTAAGCAACTTTCTTAAGGTAGCACTTTCTCTGAGGTCATTTGCACTGAGATTCGTTTCCTCCCATTGTCCCTCCAGGATTTCAATTATTTATCTTTAAAAAACAAAACAAAACATCACCTTGGATCATAGAAAGTGGTTTTAATTTAACACTCATCTTTGCATTGGTGATCATAGAAAGTGATTTTATTTACCAACGGGCAATAGGGATTAACATCACATGAGGAAATTGACCATTTTGCCTGTCTCTATGCAAACAATTCAAAAATAAGTCGATTCCCAACTGGCTTCGAAATCATTGGAAAAACCAACACTTTAGAAATGGCAAAATACCTCAACCCCACAGTTGACGCTTGTGTCGTGCTAACGGCACCAAGGGTTATCGTTTCTTAAAAGTGTAGAAATGCTGATTTTACTGTGTGTGATGAAGTACCTTTAAGCAACAATCTAAGGGTAATCTAATCCCCTGGATAGGCTCAGCTCCTTAGATAGCGCTTTCATGCTGAAACTTGGAAGGATTCACTCTTACCCAGCTGTTATTGTGCACTAGAGCATCCTTGCAAATGGGACTCTCCCAGCCAACGCAGTTGGCTGGGAGAGCGATTTGCCCCTCCCCCCAGAAGGCAGAGAATGGAGGTTCCTTCAAACCTCCTAGAAGAAGGGAGGGGGCTGGCTGATCACGTGAGCCAGCCTCCTTCCTTCAGTCTTGCTAAGACTTTCTGGACGACGGACGTACCTTCGCTGGCTCTTGCTATTCAGGTCGGTTTCGAGAGCCAGTTGGGGAGGAGGGGGTCCTTCCCTCCTTCCCTCGGCGGATCACGGGGGCTGGAGCGACGGGCAGTGAGGCTGCCCAGCTAGCGGACGGGTGGCGCACGCTTGGGCCGTCCCGAGCGGCGGCCGCCATTTCTTTGCCTTTGTGGGGGGAAGGGGTTCTATTCCTGTCCCCTGGGCTCATCCTTCACTGCGCTGCTGCTCTGCCGCGCAGGCATGGCCTGTCAGGAGAGCCGCGGGAGCGGCTGGGTCGCGCACGGCTCGCGCGCGGTGTTGCGCCGGTTTTGGCGCGAAAGGCGCCATTTTGGAGCGGCTTGGAGCAGAGGCCGCCATTTTGGATTTGCGGCCGCTGCTTCTTTGGCGCAGTTCGGCCTTGGGGGGGGCTGGGCCCCGATTTGGCCGTGCAAAGCGCGGCTAGTGATTTGGATCGTGCGGCGGCCATTTGTTCGCAGCCGCCATTTGGGGGATGGTGGGCAGCGGCGGCAGCTGCCTTTTGAGTGGGCTGTATGACGCCATTTTGGTCCGTGGGCTCGGCCTGTTTCTTGGCCCGCCATAAGGAAGGCTTGCTCAATTTTAGCATGGAGCGGGTACTGCACTCCATGAATCCTTTTGATTTATGGTTCGTTTCTGGAGTGGTGTCAGTTTATGATGTTAGGAAGAGTAATTAAAACCAGTGGAATACGTAAAGAAATAATAATAATAAAATACTAATAATAATAATAATAATAATAATAATAATAAAAAGATGAACCCCCTTTGAATATTGTACGGTAGCCTTCTCTACTATATAATGATATTATACAACTAGAAGTCTCAAATGTGCCTGCAGGCTGGGGGAAACGTTAGGCAAACTTTACATCCCCTGGGGTTTTTTTCCTTTTTGGGAGTTGTGTTATTTTATAGTGTGGAAAAGAATGCGTACACAATATATATATATATAAAAATAAATAAATAAAATAAAAAACAATTGGAAGTATTAGCATACTTATTCTGTAGGCGGAAGCGGGTGAGGGCGCATGGTGTCTCTTTCAACTCTTTGATTCTATGATTTTAAGGCGCCACAGGCTGGTGGTGGCTAATGACACATGGTAACCGGGCCACGTTTCTGGTCACCAACAGGTGTTTGCCCATTCGGCATGGGCATGGGAAGCTGGCGCATGGGGTCTCTTCCAACTCTTTGATTCTATGGTTCTAGGGCGTCATAAGCAAGCGAAGTGGAACGACGCATGTGTTTTTCCAACTCTTTGTTTGAAGGCACATGGCGTTTCTTCCAACTCTTTGATTCTATGATTAGGTGGGGCAGTAAGCACTCTATCATCGTCGCGATGGCAGGTGGGGGAGGCTGCTACGGGGGCACATGTGCACGGTGGGCGGTGCCGGTGCTCATTG